TTTCCAAAAGGGTCAAAGATTGAACATAAGTTCCTCTCAGTGACCTGCATTACAAATTTGGCACTAATTTACTCTTTTCTCCCCTGTTTATGAGGTGGGGATGGGAAGGGGAAGGCAAGAGGTAGTGGAAGGAGTACCAGTTCTACTGTCATCAAAGGACACCGTGGAATAAAAAACCGCGCTGGATTCCAGAGGAAGCGAGGACACTGAGCCTGTCTGCTGGGCCATCCGGCCTGCAGAAAAGGGCCCGCAATGGACAAGGGACAGAAATAACAACATAGAAAAGGACTGTTCAGGTCTTCTTTCATCAAGGAAGATGTTTAACCACAGCCGTGGTTGAAATAATGTGTATACATGAACACGTACCAAAAAGAAGTGCTTATTTTTACAAGAGAAATAAGAAACAACAATTTCCAATTAGTTTTAAAAGAAAATGCCAAGTAGAATATATGTGGGATTTGATCATTTCACATTTTGGCAAGAAGAGAGGTAAATATATAAAGAACCAAACATCACGCTTTTAGTCTCTATACATTTTGCCTCTATTACATTCCAAGAATGGAATTCTTCTATGTGGTAAGCATGCCTCTTCTTATGCAGCAAAATCCACCCTGAGTCCAACAGTATTTTCTCAAAGCCCATTTTATTGCAACCACCAAAAGCTTTCTTATTGAGGGGAATGGTACAATTCACTTACTTCTTAACTTCTTTTATTTTTTATTACTTTGTACCTGTTCCAGATATACAAAATAATGGTTAGATAATCATGTACTTTACAAAGTGGTCCCCTTGATATTTCAAGTACCCACCTAGCACCATACATAGTTATTACAATATTATTGACTATATTCCCTAGCTGTACTTTGCATACCCATGACTGTTCTGTGACTATCAATTTGTACTTCTCAATCCCTTAGCCTTTTTCACCCAGTCCCGCAAAGCCCTCTCCTCTGGCAACCATCAGTTTGATCTCTGCATCTATAAGTCTGTTTCTATTTTGATTGTTTATTTATTTTGCTTTTTAGATTCTACATATAAGTGAAATCATATGACCATATACTTACTTTTTACTATATGTTCCATTTATTCAAGATTGTGTTGGAAACAATCCTTTATGACATTTTAGAATACCCCGTCCTGTTTACCACTTTCCAGAATTTTATAACTAATTAAAGGGCATTCTTTTACCATCTCCCCATCCCCTCCAAAAAACAAATCTATTCCCCAGCTGCCTATCAGAGACTAAATAAAAGTCGGTCTATCACAGCAGCAGCCCTGGTCACGCCAATTTCGCAGTGTGATTTGTGCACTCATTTCATTTTGAAAATGACCCTGCCCTCCATCTGTCTAAGCCGAATGTCCTGCTTTTTTCCAAGCCAACACATTCAATAAGGAGGACGATGCAGACGGTCTCCCTCCTGCTTGGCCCGGCTGCCGCGCTCACAGATAGTCATCAACACAAAGAGGGGAGCCTTGGCCGATGCCTGTAGGGATCAGAGAAATTTGCAGCAGAGCAGACAGTCCTTCTATTTTTCATATTATTTCTAGGGAAATATTTGAAAGCGAATGCTCTATGTGATGCAACTTTTCTATCCTTTAAAAAGGATACAAAAAGCAGTATCCTTTTTCTGTGTTCTATCACCTTACCTTGATTTAAGAGCAAGTTAACCAAGGTAAACAGCTCAAGAAATAAGGATTTAAATTACATAAGGATTTTAAAGCATTGAGCCTTCTGGATCATTATTTCCTCCAAGACACGTGTCAGGCAGGCAGGCATAAAGGAGAAGACGCCGAATTCCTTGACCACTGAGCAGTGCTGGCCAGCACCTCCCAAACCATGTGTCTCCTTGGGTTAAAGCCACAAGGACTACAGCCAGAGAATGGGTTGGAAATAGCCTCAGAGGATTATAGTGGTCTTCCTCCCCTGCTTTCTCTCAGGGCTCCACTTAAACCCTTGAAAATGAGTATAATTTGTCCCTTTCTCAGTTTTCATGCAGAAGGTTCTTTCTCCAGTCCCAACCAGAAGAACACACCTTCTCAGCTATGGAAAAGAATGTACAGGTACATGAAGCCAGTCACTTGCTTACTTAGCATTGATGCCTTATTAAAGTTTCTTTTTAATTATAACAGGGGACTAGGAACTATACCACCTCTTACTAACCACTTCTTAATGTCTGCTCACAGCTGCAACTCAGGCTGGGAAGTCCCAATTCTACTGCTCAGACCAAGCTGGTTGGTTGTTTTAATGGGAAAACAACAACCCCCAAAGCAAGACACTAGTGTTCCCTCAAAACTGGGTTCTTATGTGATACACAGATTTAATTAATTCATCAGTAACTATCTCCTAATGAATTTACGTTTTCACAGCAAGGCCTAGCTGCTTCTTTTCTCTACCTGTAATATGCAGAGTACAGGTTGATTATTAAAATTAGAGATAATACATGTGAATAGTGTAATAGAATGCTGTGCAATATGCTTGCTGTGGGCTCCAAAACATATACATCGCAAAGACCTATGGGCAGCAACGCTATTGAAGAGGAAGATGAGGAAGTTGCATTAAAGTCTTTAATTATACAGCAAAGATGTGCTTCTACTCGGGGTTTTTACTTGGACTATGTTTATTTTGGGTGGTTGTGAGGCTAAGGAAAATCAAAGACTGTGAAAGACAACCCCTTCACCCCAGGCCACTAGCAGAGCATTGCATATGATAGATATTCGTTAATTATAGTTAATTTTATTCTCATGAAAACTGAACATTTACCACTGCCTCGCTAGGATGAGCCAGTTTTGTCTTTTGCTTTGTTTGTCTACTTCTCTGACTGAAAAAAGTATATTCATCTCACACAAAAGTCTCCATGTCAGTCTAAACTATGGGTATGTCTTTTATTAGTGATCTAATATAATTTTTAAGATAATCAAGTCCTTAGTTTTTCACTGCCCTGTGATAAGCACCATTATATTGAAAGGATTTATATAAAAGCAGCCCTGAAGTACTAACATGAAATCTAAAACATCTATTCCAAATACATGACAAAGGGGAAAAAAATCCAGAATGGTTTCTTCTACAGTCTAACAAATCTCAACAGAGATCTTCAAACTAAGAATCTGAGAGGAAAAATTAAAGCGTAGGCAATTAAAAAATTTTTTAAAAAACTGAGTGCAGTGTAGTGCGGTTGGTTGAGCATCATCCTGCAAAGTTGACAGGTCGCAGGTCAGGGCACATGGTGGGGTTGCAGGCCCGGTCCCCACGGGGGGCTTATGCAAGAGGCAACTGATAGCGTTTCTCTCTTTCCATTCTCCTCTAAGTGTACTTGATGAAATAAATAGATGAAATAAATAGAATAGATGAAATCTTTAAAAAACTTTAACTGAAAGAAATTTCCATTTTTTTAATTTATTGATTTTTGAGAGAGAGAGAGGGAGGGAGAAAGAGAGAGAGGGACCTACTGTTACACCCACCTATGATTTCATTGGTGGACTCCTGCATGGGCCTTGACTGGGGACAGAACCTCAGCTGCTCCCCTAGCACACCAGATGACCACTCAAACAACTGAGCCAGGAGAATCCAATTTTTGTCATCTTCATGATGTCCCAGAACATTAAAGCCTGACAAGCACAGGCCTTGGCCAGATAGCTCAGTTAGTTAGAGCACCCCCCCCCCCACATTAAGCCAATGTTGCAGGTTCAATACCTGGTCAGGGAACACACAACAATCAACCAATGAATGCATAAACAAGTGGAACAACAAATTGATGTCTCTCCCTCTCTCTCAAAAATCAATAAATAAAGTATTTCATTAAAGCATGACAATGTGGGCTGTGTATCTTTGTCACACACACACAGTGTGTGCGCTGGCTAATTAAGTAGATCTAGAGTTAGAAGAGTAACAGTGCACAGGAAAAGAACACTTTTGATGGTGGATTTCTGTTGTTTCATGACCAACAAAATAGAAGCAGCAGCATGGATACATGGAACAGGCTGACAGCTGGGCAGGAGGCGGGAACTGGATGAAAGAAGGTGAAGGGATTAACCAAAAAACATATACATAACCCACAGACAGAGACGACAGTGTGGTGATGGCCGGAAGGAAGTGGGGACGGGCTGGGTGAGAGCAAGCGAACGGGGTGGGATGGGGAATGGGGATGTCTGTAATAGTGTCAGCAGTGAAAAGAAAAAGAAAAAACGATGGCATAGATCTCGCCAACGTTTCTACTTCGTAGTGAAATTTGGAGGATCGAGGCAGGGTGTAGCTTAAACTCTTACAAGGGCTCAGTACTACCCACAGGTACATCTCAAAGACCCAGTACTAGATGCAACCCAAAACACTCCTTCCTGTTGTTAATGTCTGGAAACTACAAAATAAAGATTCCTAGTCACTGCACTCACTATTCTATTTCTTAGAAACTATGTTCCCAGGACAGCCTGAAACCTGAACCTATCTAATTCAGGGAGAAACAAAGTTGACATTCCGCTGTCTCCATTCACCTTTTTTTTTTTTTTCCACTAAAACGGCGGGGAACTACACCATACGATAACACCTTGTATAAGGCTCAAAAACGCAAGAAACTTCAAAACGTAAACCTTCCTTCCCCACGCCAGAGACCGAGGTGACACTACAGGAAGGTAGACACCCTGACCTACCTACAAAAGGAACACAAGGTAAGTGAACCCGAACACAAAACTCTTATCTACCAAGAGCAGACGGTACGTCCCGCAGAAACTACATCTTCCAGCATGCAGCGCGAACACGTTCCCAGCGGCGCAGGAGAACCGCGGCATGCCGGGAGGTGGAGTTTCTTCTGTCTTTGAAGTACTTGGAAGGGTTTATTTTCCTTTCACAGGCTAACGACGCTCTTACTCTTGGACTCTTGGGGCGGGTGAGATCGGATCTGAAGACCCTTACATTAGTGACCACTTTCTAATTCTAGTCTGGTCCTTCCGCTAGAGTAATTTTGGGGAAGCGCAGGAAAAAAATTCATTACGATTTTCCGTATCCGGTTGCCTTGTTGCCTTGGTAACTAGGACGCACAGCAACCCTGACGGTTATGGCGCGGCTGGGTAGTACGCAGATCCCCGACGGGGAGTTCACCGCGGTGGTGTACCGGCTCATCCGCGATTCACGCTACACCGAGGTGGTCCAGCTGCTGGGTGGAGAGCTCCAGCGGATCCCGAGGAGCCGCGCCGGCCTGTCGCTGCTGGGCTACTGCTACTACCGCCTGCAGGAGTTTGCTCTGGCCGCCGAGTGCTATGAGCAGCTGAGCCAGCTGCACCCGGAGCTGGAGCAGTACCGCCTGTACCAGGCCCAGGCCCTGTACAAGGCCTGCCTTTATCCCGAGGCCACCCGGGTCGCCTTCCTCCTCCTGGACAACCCCGCCTACCACAGCCGGGTCCTTCGTCTGCAAGCTGCCATCAAGTACAGCGAGGGCGATCTTCCCGGGGCCAGAAGCCTGGTGGAGCAGCTACTGAGTGGGGAAGGGGGAGAAGACAGTGGGGGTGAGAACGAGTCAGATGGCCAAGTCAACCTGGGTTGTTTGCTCTACAAGGAGGGACAGTACCAAGCTGCATGTTCCAAGTTCTTTGCAGCCCTGCAGGCCTCGGGCTACCGGCCTGACCTTTCCTACAACCTGGCTTTGGCCTATTATAGCAGTCGACAGTATGCCCCAGCGCTGAAGCACATCGCTGACATTGTTGAGCGTGGCATCCATCAGCACCCGGAGCTAGGTGTGGGGATGACTACTGAGGGCATTGATGTTCGCAGTGTTGGCAACACTTTAGTCCTTCACCAGACTGCCCTGGTGGAAGCCTTCAACCTCAAGGCAGCCATAGAATACCAACTGAAAAATCATGAGGCTGCCCAGGAAGCCCTCACTGACATGCCACCCAGGGCAGAGGAAGAGTTGGACCCTGTGACCCTGCACAACCAGGCACTAATGAATATGGATACCAGACCTACAGAAGGATTTGAAAAGCTACAGTTTTTGCTCCAACAGAACCCCTTCCCCCCAGAGACCTTTGGCAACCTGTTGCTGCTGTACTGTAAGTATGAGTATTTTGACCTGGCTGCAGATGTCCTGGCAGAGAATGCCCACTTGACTTTTAAGTTCCTCACACCCTATCTCTATGACTTCTTGGATGCCATGATCACTTGCCAGACAGCTCCCGAAGAGGCTTTCATTAGGCTTGATGGGCTGGCAGGGACGCTGACTGAGCAGCTTCGGAAACTCACTATACAAGTACAGGAAGCAAGACACAGCAGAGATGATGAAGCTGCCAAAAAGGCAGTGAATGCATATAATGACATCCTGGAGAAGTATATTCCTGTGCTGATGGCCCAGGCAAAAATCTACTGGAACCTTGAAAATTATCCAGTGGTGGAAAAGATCTTTCGCAAGTCTGTGGAATTCTGCAGTGACCACGATGTGTGGAAGCTGAATGTGGCCCATGTTCTGTTCATGCAGGAAAACAAATACAAAGAAGCCATCGGGTTTTATGAGCCCATAGTCAAGAAGCATTATGACAACATCCTGAGTGTCAGTGCTATTGTACTGGCTAACCTCTGTGTTTCATATATTATGACAAGTCAAAATGAAGAAGCCGAGGAGCTGATGAGGAAGATCGAAAAGGAGGAAGATCAGCTCTCCTATGATGATCCAGACAAGAAAACCTACCATCTCTGCATTGTGAACTTGGTCATAGGAACACTTTACTGTGCCAAAGGAAATTATGACTTTGGGATTTCTCGAGTTATCAAAAGCTTGGAACCTTATAATAAAAAACTGGGAACTGATACCTGGTATTATGCCAAAAGATGCTTCCTGTCCTTATTAGAAAACATGTCAAAACACACAATCATGCTTCGTGACAGCGTTATCCAAGAATGTGTGCGGTTTCTGGAACACTGTGAACTTTATGGCAGGAATGTACCTGCCATTATTGAACAACCCCTGGAGGAAGAAAGAAGGCATAGTGGAAAGAATACGGTCACATATGAGTCCAGACAGTTGAAAGCTTTGATTTATGAGATTATAGGATGGAATATGTAGTCATGTCTGATAATGTCTTAGATGTTAATATACTGTGATCTTAATATACTGTTTTATTTGTATTTAGCTGTTGGCATCTTTAATGATGAACTTTGTATACTTCAAAATTATAATAAAAATAATTTAATCTGTTTTTTTATACCCTTCACCAAATGAAATATAAGAATTTGGACACCTACATACATGAAAATTCAAAACTGAATGGGGACACTATCTATTCGAACTTATAGTGCCTATGTTCCCTCTCCTTCCTTATCACCTGTGCTTTATTGAATTTTATGAGTCCCCTGAGCAAGAACTACATTTTCCAAAAATTGAGCATTGTCAAGCCTAAATTTCATTGATTAAAGATTTTCTAGGCTTTGGGGATTGTGTGTTCTTACCATGTACCCTCGTTATTCTATTGTTATAATTCATACATTTTACATAGAGTTTAGGATGTTTTGACAGGGATTTTCAATACAGGTGTAATGCTTTATGTAACCAAAATTACTTAGTTTTTTTTTTAAGTGTGTGAGATTCAGTGGGAAATCTTGTGTTCTTAACTGAATTATGGTGATATGTTATAGAGCATGGTTTTCTTTTGTTCCATTTGTTAATAATTTGAATATATGAACAAGATAGATATACTGTATTTTGCTGTGTATAATGTGCACTGAGAGAAAAATAAGGATGCACATTATACATTGTAGTTCTGATATATAAATGTTTTTAATTATTTTATTTATGCCTATGCGTTAAAAGTGTACCTCTAGAAAGCAATAACGATATCCATATGCAAAATAGTATACTGGAATACCATAATTGGCTTTGTTTCTAAATACAAATAAATAAATAAATAAATAAATGATTGACTTTAAAAGTTAAGATTTTTTTCTGAAAGTTTGGGTTAAAGAAGTGGGTGCACATTTTACACAGGCTCATGTTATACACGGCAAAATATGGGGCTACCACTGTTTTTTTCATTTTATTTAGTTATTTTTCAAGTACAGTTTTTTGTCTATTTCTCCCATCCCAGCCCTCCCACCCCGTGCTCCCCACCTCCCTCCCATTTCCTCCCCGCTAGTCCTCATCCCTGTGTCTTTCATGCTTGTTCCTCCAAATCCCTCCCCTTTTCCTTCCTTAAATTCCCTTCCCTCTCCCCTTTGGTCACTGTCCCCTTGTTCTGTATTTCAGTGTCTTTGTTTTTATTCTGCTTGCTTGCTTGTTTTGTTGTTTAGCTTCCTGTTAAAGGTGAGATCATACGGTATTTGTCTTTCAACACCTGGCCTATTTCACTCAGCATAATGCTTTCCAGTTCCATCCATGTTGTTGCAAAGGGTAGTAGCTCCTTTCTCTCTGCTGCATAGAATTCCATTGTGTATATGTACCACTGTTTTTCCAAACTCTCATTTATATCTCACAGTGACTCAGCAGAGGTGTCCTGAAAACTCAGTTCTAATTCTTACCTTTGTATTTACTACATAGGACATGTTAATGCTAGAGTTGTTTGCATTTTGTATCCTCTTGGGTAAGAAAAAAATCTACATTATTCCTATAACCCCACCAAACTTCTCTCCTGCCTCCATCACAGATGAAAAGGTCAGTTCTGAAAGTCATCTGGCAGATCCACAGCGCTAGTTCCATGTCCACAACCCTCCCATGAGAACTCCACTGATTCTGATCGGCATTTATTTTCTGTACCATACAAGGTCTTTACTATTAGTTTCCCTACCCTTTTTCTCTCCATAAATTGGCCAATCCCAAGTTGCTCAGAAAGAAAAAAAAGTATTAGGTTGAATTACATGAAATTGCTGATTTTCAAAGTTTTCAACCTATAGAACTAGCAATTTCTTATGGTTCAACCTAATCTACTAAAAGTAAACCCCCACTATAATGAGATTTTTTTTCCCTTCAAGGAGAAATCACTTAGCCACATAGATACCCACATGAAGTATCCTCAGCATAAATCCTCTGTCACATGACCTGCTGGGTGCTCAAATTCTGTTAGATCTATCAGAAATTGTGGCTTATTATGAAGTCCAATGGCCTTGAATTCATATAGCACTTTTCATCTTGGTACTATTTACCATGTATGTTTGTCCCCATATTTGGAGGGCAATCAATGTTTCATAACCACTTCAGTGCATACCACTGCACAATTCTACCTCTGGGAAATGTTCTTTAACAACTTTGGTACTGAAAGTGTTGTTGCTTCTTTGTGCAGTAGCTCTGTGCCCCTCTCAATTTCATAGCCCCTTCAGAGTTGGAAAGTAAATGAACTGAGATCTTATTTTCAACAACCATGTTAAAAATCAGATTTTATTTTGCACATTTCCTGTAAACTTTTTTTCTTAAGAAAAAAAAAAAGCATAAAGTCACGTTAACCACCCAAAAGCAAATGTTTTCCAGATTCCCTTTTGCAAATAGCCCGGCCTTTATTCAGCCGCACTTTATTTACCCAGGTGCCGTGTGTTTGTGGTTTGCATCTATGTGTAATTTACTTTTCAGAACATAAAAACCTTTTCAGAACAGTTTTTAACCCCTTGCCACTGGGCAGTTGGGGTTTCCTGGTGAGTAATGCACCAGGAAATCCTGACTGCTCCTACCACTGAGTAAAGGAATAAAGGTCAATTATGGCATTTGTCCCCCTTTTTACTGTGGTGCTCTAGAGAGGCTTCCTCCAGGACTGACAGACTGCTACGTAGTGACAGCACTAACTCATACTCCTGGGGCAGCCTGGGATGGTGAGGGCATTCCTAATTCCCTAGGCACTTGTTTTCCTTTAAGAATATGCTTTTTAAAAACTTGCCTTCAAAGTACCCAGCTCTGCTTATTATTAATAAGCTAAGGACTTTGCAATGACTCTATTTTTACCATTTGAATGAAGGCTTTCACTCCTAAAGCTCTGATGAAAAGCTTTGTTCTATGCTCTTAAGACAATTATGTACTCGGTGGCAAAAGCCCTTTCCTTCACATTAAAAAGATTTTCCTATATTTCTAAAAAGGTTACTCCTTTAAGATTTCTTTGTAATGTCTGCATAGCATATGAGTATTTTAAAGGGATCAAATATTAAATCCAGTATTTCTTAATGTTACTCAACCTCCCCATCTCCACACGTTCAGAATATAACCATGTGTTTGTACACATGTAGTTATTTTCATTTTCTCAGACATGAACAAGAACTTGACCTTCTGTGCAGAACCACCAAGCAGACTCCATTGATCAGTGATACTACATGCTTGCCAAAGGATTCATGTTCCTAATAACAGTCCCTCTTTAAATTTGGCCTCAGCTGTGCACGGATGTTTTCAAAACACTAATGCTGTTTTCAAAAGGCAGGTGTACAGTAGTTGACCCTGACCCATTCCTGGACAACGGGAAATGGGAAAACAAAGTGACTTGGAGGTGGGTCATCAGGCAGTGAGGCAGCTGTAATCATAGGGAATGACTGTCCCTCCCAGAGGGGCTATATAGGGACCTATAGGTATGGCCTCTCAGACCTCAGAACAGCAAGCACCTCAGATGGAGTCTGTACAAGAATTTTCAGTGAGAGGTTTGACCCGAGGTTAAAATAGGTAATTTGTTGGTAGAGAGCGACTGGGTAGATGCAAAAATAAGCTTACCAGAAAACGTAAAAGAATAAGTGTAAATGGCTTGGGAGGGAGACTTTAACAAGGAGCTTTCTGACTCCTATGCTTTGTCTATAATCCTTGCTTGGGTTCATTTCCACATAGAAGAGGGTTAGCGGTGCTGGAAGTCTGTCCAGGTAAGCAGGGAGTGGCTATGCAAACTACACAGTTTTAAAAAAGTAACATCACCAAAGCAAACCTTATCATTTCAGGTGAACCTCAGCATTTTCTAATAAAATTTTTTATCTTAGGTCCTCGGTCTGTCTTTTTCTGAGTAACTATGGGTGATAGGATAATATCTGGGAAGTTTGCTTTCCTGAGGGTGTTCTCTGCCGCACAGAGTAGCTTCTCAGCAGTAGTGTGACTCGCACCTCAGTGTCTGCCATTCACTAATGGCCTCTTATCTCTTGTTGACCTACCTACATTTGGGTTTTTTTGTATTCACTTACTGGGTTCTTGGTTGTCTAACCGCATAGTTACCATTTCTGTACCCACCAGATTCTCAGCTTATACTTTCAATCTAGCTGTAAGATTTATGCAACTTTTTGGTTATTCTACTGTACCTCAAATTCTTCAGCAGCAAACTTAATTCTTAAGTTAGCAATTTTAAGGAACTGTGATTTTTCCAAAGAATCTAGATTGGCTCTACATTATAATAAAATATTTCTTTAATCTTAAACAGTTCTTTCTATTTCCAGACTCTCTATAGGAAGATGTAACAGGTTATTCTTACTTTTAAATGCAGCTCAAAGGGATATAACATTAAAGTTATAAAAGTAAAAATTTATTAGTCCATCAAATAAAGCACTTCATTTTATGAGTTTCATAAAGGCACCAGTGGATTAAACATTTACAGAGTAGACAGCAGCTGAGACAAAAGGCTTCCTGTATTTTTGTGGTATATATGTATGAAGACAGCAGCTTCCGCCCCATAGTCAGGATGAGACTTCACTTCCTCGTGCCCTTTTGTAGAGGGCAGTGACTAGCCATCTACTGTAAAAAGCAGAAACTCTGTATAGAGTGACTACACAGCACAGTCTACAGCAGTGAAGCTGCCAGTGAAGAGGCGCTGGACTCAGCCGGGCCTGGCTCCATACCTTAGCAATGCCACCACCCAACTGCCGACAGTGGGTGTAAGTCAGCCTTGCCAAACCTGTTCCTTCACCAGTACAAAGGGATGATACAGTCATTTCATGGGGTTGTGAGAACAATCATTACATCTTACGTAGGGTTAGGTGCCTACATAAGGTGAATTAAAAAGCAAATTATTAACCCAACAATCAATTCTAGGGAAGTATTTAGCAAAAACATATAGATTCAATCAGAATCACTGAGACTGAGAAGGGACCTCATAGAGATGTTTTTTTTTATTGTTCAAGTACAGTTGTCTCCATTTTCTCACCACCACTTTCTCCTGCCCCGCCCACCCCCACCTCCCACTTTCAATCCTTCCCCCATTGCCTTTGTCCATGAGTCCTTTATACATGTTTTTTGATGACCCTTCCCTTATTTTCCCCCATTATCCTCCTCCTCCCTCCCCTCTGGTTACTGTCGGTTTGTTCTTTATTTCCATGTCACTGGTTCTACCTTGCTCACTTGTTTTGTTGATTAGGTTCTACTTATAGATGAGATCATATGGTATTTGTCTTTTACTGCCTGGCTTATTTCCCTGAACATAATACTCTCCAGTTCCATCCATGCTGTTATAAGGGGTAGGAGCTCCTTTCTTTATGCTGCATAGTATTCCATTGTGTAAACATACCACAGTTTTTAGATCCACTCATTTACTGACTTCACAAAAGAAGAAATTAGGCCCACATAGGGAAAGTAACATAGCTGTTAGAAAAATATAGAGCACAAACTTTCCAGAATAGAACTCTTTCCACTTTTTTTGACTTTAGAACTCCATCTTCTCCTATTTTACAGCTTTACAGTAACACATTTCATTTTTATTTTTGATAATTTATTTATTATTAGACAGAGGAGAAGGGAGAGAGAGGGGGAGAGAAACATCCATGCATGGTTGCCTATCGCACGCCCCCCCTGGGGATCTGTCTGCAACCCAGGCACGTGCTCTGAGAATCGAATTGGCAACCCTTTGGTTCAAAGGCCTGTGCTCAATCTACTGAGCCACACTAGCCAGGGCACATTTCAGTCATTTTTTTAAAAGACTACCTTCTTTTTGGTAATGCACAATGCATTTGGTAAA